TAGACTCTAGTGCAGACAACTCCTTTCATGGCACATTCCTAAGGCACAAAGGAAAAGATTAATATAAACCTTCTGCTAATAGCAGGTGTGTCTGCTGCATTAACCAAGTCAGTAAAAAAGGTAAGACAGTAAAAATACAGATGTCATGTTTTACATCTTTACATAACTTTCAGAACAAACAGCAAAATTATTTTTATATTGCAAATGGAGTGGTTTCTATTTTAACATCTTTGGACTTAATTAAGTGGCATATAATGACAAACAGATTGCAAAATTCGGCTCAGCTTCCAGAAACAAATTTACCTTCCTTGGTATTACTGCTGGCTTGACAGAAATATCAGCCCCACCTAGTTTATTATGCCATGACCCACAAATACCTTCAATTTTGCAAAGGGCTTTTTTTGTGGGAGCAGAAGTAGCCTGGGTAGTTCAGCAGTCAGACTTCTGGCCTACAAAACTTTGCACTTATGAGTCACAAAATATTTCTCCTGTCCTTCAGTAGCTCCTTGTGACTCACAGCCACAGGATGTGTGTGACAAAGGTGATGTGACATTAAAAAAACAAATTCTCATCAGTCTGCAAAAGACGAGGCCTCCTCCACAAACCTGTCTGAGGCAAGGGGCAGATGGCAGGATGCTGACGGAACAGGGGCTCTATACTTCTCTTGTTCTAAGACTCTTTAATAATTAGGAAGAAAAAAGAAGTCACAGACATGGAACCATGAGGGGATGTAAAAGCAAAATCACCCTTCCAAACGCAAAAGTGCTTGTAACCACAATGCAGTCAGAACAAGCTAACGCATAAGGACATAATATTGATGATTTCAAACAAGTTGCCAAAATTATTTCTTTAAATCTTCAATGAACAAAGTCTGTACTTTACTCAAGAGTGAAACCTTAATTTTAGTAGTGTCCCTTACAACTAGGGACCTTAAAAAATGTTATCACCTGAGCTTGACCAGCCCATGGCTTCCACACGGCTGCTTCAGAAGAGCAGGTTGAATGTGGGGTGACGTACAGTCAAGCTCCCCTTGCCCCGAGGAAAGACACATCCTCTCCCTGCAGTGGGCATTGCGGGAGCCGTCAGGACTAGTCCCCACTGCAGGGCACCATGCAGGCAGGTGTGGGCACAGAGCTGCTGGATTTCACACAGCAAACTTCAAGCACCTCCTTGGTGTACTCAGCATGCTACACCAAAAAAGCAAACAAAAATGTGTGTATTGATGGGCTTTAGTGGGAATAGATGTGGGACAAGGTGTAAAACCAGTTTTCTAAGGTGGACACGCTTTGTTACAAAGACGAGAAAGAGGAACATCTTTTTTCAATTTCAAAGAAAATGTCCATTCCAGGGACATTAGTACTCAACTAGCAAACTTTTATTGGCATTTCATAGGTTTCTGCTATTTGAAAACCTAATTTCTTTTACGACTAATAATCTTGAGATCAGTAAAGTATGCTGTAAATATACGGCAGCTCTGCCAGTATAATCACTTTAAAGACAATTTGTTGTATGAAACAATATTTAGTTCTTTCTAGATGGTTTCTTTAGTTTGCTTCCCTTTTCCTCCCTTTTAGTTTGTCTCACAAGCCAGAGAGAAAGCCAAAGTTAACAGTCTATTTGGACAGAAGCAGACTGAAGGCTGCATCCTTCTGATCTCTTCAGTGCACAAGAAGCGTGAACTTACCACCACCATTTTCCCATCAACCAGTCTTCTCTTTATCGTGGTCTCTTTGCCGTTCCACTTCTGCACTTGCACCAGTGCCCCTTTCTCCAAGGTTACAACACTCTGCAAAGAGCAATAGAAGTGTTTCAAACTGCAGCCTGAGTTTGGCAGATTAGAGAAGCAATTTACTTTACGTTCTGCAATCTTGGCTAACAGCACACTGAGTAGCATTAGTTTCAGCACCATACTATTTCTTTTTTTTCTGTGCTTTCTTTGAATAGTTTGGAAAACTCATGGTGCCCTGAGGGAGTAGGAAAAAATCCTCCTGGTGCTCTTCTAGGAAATGTCCAGGCAGTGGACATCAAGCCCTCTTACCTTGACCTTACGGTCATCTGCTGTTGTTTCATCAAACTGCTGGCCCAATTTGAAAGAGATCGCTGTATTTTTGAAGGTGCTTTCCGTTCTGATGGTCACTATGTCCCCTTTCATACTGATGATCACATCAGGCTTTGCCAGGCCACCTAGTTTCCGGGTGGCTAAGCCCACTCCTGGAAATCAAAAACAAAATTATCGTTAAATTCTAGCAAGCAAGCAACTCAGAATCCTTTCACGGAATCTTCAGTAGAGGAATAAGAAATAGCTTCTTCTTGAATTCTCTAATGCCTGATTCAGATGAGATTCTAATTCTTTGAATATGGAAGTACTGCACTTGGAGGCTGTGGCAGCTCCAGTTGACAGAGTGTACCTTGAACAAGAAATAAAGATACACATGAGTGTACTCTTGTGTATATTTGTCTAATAGGAATTAGAAGAAGAAAGGCAGATGGTTACAAATCCGCATGAATTTGTGGAGACACAGAATGGGTATAAAAATTCAGAGGAAAGCTCTATTTCTCATAGAAGTTTGCAAAAATACCTTTTTTAAAAAAATTGAAATATCTGTTAATCTGCACTTTTGTTCACCTGCTGTATGGAAGAAACTGGATACTGAAATGCTGGTATGCTGGTGCATGCTGATTAAATCCTAGATTTAGAGATTGGAGATCCTTAGGCTGCTACTAACATTCCTTAAAGACGCTTACATCTAAACCTCAGTGAAAAGTACAAGCACGAAATATAAAAATATTGACGTGTAAGAGCAAAGAGCTGCAGAGAGCTTCAGGGAAAATCCTGTGTCAAAAGTCGTTCATATCACTTGGTGCTTTTCAGTCCAGTTCATTCCCTACAAGTGGTAAGGTGTAGGACAAGTTAGAATGAAGGCCATTGACAATGTACCGCTCTTTTGTAAAAGCAGAAAGGGGAGAGCTGTAAGTATTGCCTCTGCTGATGCTATGCTAAGCTCGGATGAAAAGATCTGTATAAAAGGTTGTAAAGTTACCAGTAAAGTATAACACTATTTTCAGTAATTATTTTATACTAAACAATTCTGTTCAGGTCTTCAGAAAAATACCTGTAGCTGGACTTTCACCCCACATTACTCTGGTTAATTAACTGCAATTCTTTTGTTTTTGAATTTAACATTTCAAATAAAGGGAATCAGTGTCTCAGTGAATCATTTATACAGCAAAAGTAATGCTGTAGCTGATTGTGCACTCCTTAGATAGGAATGAAACCAGCATTAAAAAGAAAAACAATGCCTAATTTATTACATTCCTGGCATTCTTCAGTAACAGATAGATTCATTCATAGGACTTAGCTCTGAATCCAAAGTGTCATGAGACATTAGCTCCATTATACATTGTAAATTATCACAAGTCATGAGTTTAATGGTACAATAAAGAGAAATAAAAAATAAACTTCTGCATCTTCATAGGTTCTTCTCATTACAAACAAAGTAGATCAGGTTAGTTCAGTTCAGTTATACAGAAGTAAATTTATTATTCAGCACCTACTTTTTTGTTTTTCCATTTTAGATGCAAAAGGAAATAAATTATTCTAGAAAAGTAATTAAAGTGCTTTTGTGGCCAGGAAGAAGGGACCATCCATAAGAAAAGCATAAGATGAAGAAAAGACACTCCCAAAGAAAACTTATTTAAAGAGAAAAAAAGAAGAAAGAACATTTCTCACCCAATTCTTTCATATAGTCATCAAAATTTTCACTGGAGATGAGTTTCCAGGTTCCCACAAATCGGTTACACATTGTATAGACTTTGAGAGCCAATGGTCCTGCAGAGAGCAGCAGTGGCCACAGCAGTCCCTGGTGGGAGTTAGGGAGATTGTGTGCCTGACTGAGACCTCACTGGCCTCCTTTTAAAGATGCCCAGTCCCTGTAGCAGTCAGGACGGCCCAATAGGAGAGGCAGTGCCAGGGCAAGACAATGTGCACCTTGTCCAAGGCGGCTGTGTCAGTATGAAGGCTCTGGGTGATGCCTGCCTCAGCTTCCTCCACTGAACAGACCAGCACACAGAGGAGCGTGTGGGGCTGGGGGCGTGACCTTACCACTGCAGCCACAGAGCAGTCAGGGGACACTGCAGGGGGGTCTCAGCACAAGAGCACTGCATCCATTTGAAACCCAGCTCTGACTGTCCTTCCAATGCCATTCTCCTGTGATTACCATATAGACTAGACTAGACTAGACTAGAATAATGGATTTAATTGGAAGAGATCTACAACAGTCATCCAGGCCAACTACCTGATTAGTTCAGGGCTGACCAACAGTTAAAGCATGCTGTTAAGGGCTTTGTCCAAATACCTCTTAAACACTGATAGGCTTGGGGCATCAACCACCTCTCTAGAAAGCCTGTTCCCATGTTTGATCACCCTCTTGGTAAGGAAATGCTTCCTAATGTCCAGTCTAAATCTCCCCTGGAGTAGCTTTGAACTGGAAGGCATGAACAAAGGCTGAGTTATTAAAAGGGCTTATTCTCAGTTCAAATGCACTTGGTGAGAGGTGAGCAGTTTTGCTGGGTTGGGAAGAGGGCACATACTGCTCTCTTTTTGCTGTACTGCACCTGGATAGTTGGTCTGTTGTAGAGTTAAGGGCAGATTTAAGCCAGCACAATCATAGAAGACATTGATTTTAAATATGTCTTAGTATTGTAATTTTTCTTCGTTATTCCTCCATTTTCCCTGCTCTCCTGAAGAGACTCCACAACTTTCCTGAGGTCTTGTCCCACTTGTACTGGGGAGCCAACATTATACGTGTGGCATATTCAGTGCTGAGAAGAGGGGAAGCATTGTCTTCCTCAGCCTGCAATACTCCTCCTAATGCAGCCCAAGACATCCACCACCTTCTTTGATACAAGGGCACATTGCTCCCTCATGTTCACCCTGGTATCCACCAGGACCCCTGGGGCCTCTTCTGCAAAGCTGAGTTAGAAAGTTTGTGCAGTCAAAGCATGATCATTCAAATTTTAATTTTTTTTTTCTTTTTTAAATATACATTCGGAACTATTGTCTGGTGGTTAGTAAAAACCAGACATAAAGAACAAATCCATAAATCATATGTATATTTGACAGGCAGGAACTTAAAGCATTCTAATTCAAAACACCTCATACTGTGAAACTATTTAGTGTAAGAGCGCATCAGCTGTAATTTTGTTCTTCCTGTTTCTAAACCATCTTCCTGGAGAAAACTATTGGATGTTACATGAAAGGCTTAGATGGCTTTTTCTTGCTTATGTGACCAATAGCTGCCTCTGCACCTTTTTTGCGTGATTATGTTTTCTGGGTTATGGCCACTTAGGGGGACTTTTCAGATCTACACTGTAAGAATGCAGGGGCATTGGGATTATAGGTTGTGGCACCAAATTCCTTGCATTTAAGGGAGAAAGAGTGAGATAGATCTGGTACTAGGCTGAGGAGGGTAAGGTTTGGGTCTTGTCTTGAAAGCTGTCATATGCAAGAAGGGGAATATGCTTAAACAGGAAAATAACACAACTTGATCAGTGAAAACATTGTAGACTTTGGATTGACCTGTGATTGTGGGGAAATAACGATGTCTTAAGTTACAGTTTTTGGTTTTATACGTTGTATATGATTTTTCTATCCCATCAGTCATAAAATGCTCAAGGGAAAGTTGAGCAGAACTTCCCATTACTACTCAGGTCTAATTACAGTACAGTGTAGGGAGGGAAAGTCTAGGGTGACTGAAAAGGAAAACAAAGTAAGGAAGAGCTCTTTCTCCCCCACAGTAGGAAGCAGATACTGTATCTGTAATATGTTAATAAATGTCAGTCTTCTAAGGTGTTGTCCACACAAAGTTCTTCTACAGCAGAGATGCATTATAGTACATTTTGTGTAAAGAATACTTAGCTCTTTTATCCAGTCTCAGGAAATGAGAAAGCTCCTCCTAAATGAAACTATCCATTGTTTCTCATGGAATAATACGAAAATATTCTACCGTGGCTCCTCAGGCATTCTTTGTCCTTTCATTTAATTGTCTTACCCACATAAAGGCACTTTAAAAAGACAAGGCTAGTGCCTTTGGGAAATAAAAGCTGATTGGGACATTGTAAAATCAGGTCCAAAGAAATTAAAGAAGAGTGAATTAAACAGAATAGAACAGTTACACTGCAGTACCAGTAACCTTAAGCACGAAAGTGACAGAGAATTATTTATACAGACAAAACCCCAGTCTTAAGCAGTCTCAAACAATGTTGACATTGCTACCATCTATCTCTTTGTCATTAAGAAAAATCAGCACTTTCATTTGAAGGTTTTCTAGTCAAGCAGGGAACTATATCTTCAGCAGAAATAATATTGGTGGAAACAAATCTTTTCTCCAAGTTTAAAGGTAAAAAGTGTGTCAAGGATTGTGAGTGTATGCGATAAGAGGGAGCTTTGATTGCCTTTTTTTTTGCTTATGGTTGGAGTAAAACAGGATTTGAAATCAGTATACTTGGAAGTCATGAAGCAGCACTAGAAATAAAGGTAAAATTTGACAAAAATATTGAGCTAAAAATGTAAAGAGACTATTTAAAGAAATGTGGAAACTAAATTTATGTCAATTTCTTGAAAGGAAATATGATCAGGGCAAATCCAGTGTTGAATAAAAGTCTAAATTAAATTCCTAGAAGGGTAATGAAGAAAACAGAAATAAAGCCAAAAACAGAGACTAAATGCTTGCCTTGCTGTGAGGACACCAAGGATATTTTAACGCTGACTCTATGGAGCTGAGGGATCCACTCTGAACACAAGGCCAGCAGCCTGCCTCTTGCCAAAAGCTACACTGAAGGGTGCAAAATAGCCTTTTGTCCCCTTATCTGGGACATTCCATGAGACCGGACCAAGAATGCTGGGGCTGAGGCAATGGGTGGCAGCTCAGGGCAGGCTGCAGAGCTGGGCTCTTCATTAGCCTGGATGCAAAAGTACTCTGAGTTCCTTCCAGTGGAAACAAAACATTAAAAGAAAACCAGAAAAATAACAGAAAGGTCAAAGCTCAGAATAACGCTTGCTTCCTCTTTCTCCTGAGCTGCTAAAAATCTGTGGGTGTAAGTTGCCTTCCCTCTTGTCATCCAAGAAACCTGTAAAGGAGTCGTGAGCAAATATGCAAACAGGTGAAGATCTCCTCTCAGCATTCAAGCATGCCTGCTGTGACAAGCATGTCACCCGCGGGGTTTGGAGGGGCTTGGTGAGATCCTCCTTTTTCAGAGAGGAGTACTGTGAGATGGTTTCTGATTCTTTGAGAAGAGTTCAGCACACTAGAAAAGAGAAGGGGACCTATGCGGGTCTGCAGGCAAGGACAAGACACTGATCCGCCTTTAGCCCTTGGAAAAGTGTCCTGTCACCTCCATCCAGATCTAAGAGCACACACCTTTGTTTGCCAGAGACAAATTATCTCCAATTATTCAAGAAATCACTAAGCTACTGTCTTTTTTTAGAGAATAATTTTTGGCCTTCTTCAGAGCATAAATTTCAGACATGTTTATATTCCAAGAATGTGGACTATTAGGGTTACTAAGAGATATTATAAAATAAAAGATGTTTTATAAGCCTGAGAGCACTTTTTAAGCTATGACTTGTAATTCAAGGCTTTTTTGTGTAATCTAAGGCAACAACAGACGTTAAGAAAAGGAACATTAACAAAACAATCCCATCTGAGAGCTACAGCAATTCTAATTTCAGACATCAAGTGGAAGAGGACAAGATTAAGACACTTCAGATGATCCCCAGTTTTAAAATTGGTGATATTTGTGTGAGGAGGAGGTGCCTGGTTCCCTGCTGTCCTGCTTTCAGTGGGGATAGAGTTATTTTTTTTCCTATTAGCCAGAACAGGTCTGTGTTTTGGATTTAGTGTGGGAATTACATTGTAACATGCTGACACTTTAGTTGTTGCTAAGTGGCACTTATCCTAAGTTAAGAATTTTTCAGTTTCTCATGCTCTACAAGCAAGCAGGGGCACGAGAGGCTGGGAGGGAGCACGGCCAGGACAGCAGACCTGAACTAGCCCAAGGGATGTTCCAAACCACAGAACGCCATGCTCAGTATATAAACTGGGGGGAGTTGGCTGGGAGGGGCAGATCACTGCTCAGGGACTGGCTGGACATCAGTCAGTGGGAAGTAAGTTTTATAGCAAATACATAGCATTGTGCATCGCTTGGGTTTTAATTATCTCTTTTTTGTTATATTCCTTTTCATTACTATTATTATGATTTTTTAACTATTATTATTATATTTTCATTTCATTCTTAAACTGTTCTTATCACAACTCGTTAAACTTACTCTTTTTCTTTTTTTCTGGTCTCCTCCCCATCCCCCTGGGAGTGGAGAGGAGTGAGTGAGTGGCTGCATGGTGCTTAGCTGCCAGCTGGGGTTAAACCACAACACTTGCTCACACTGGAAGCCAACGCCGAGCATCCACAGTAATTGCCTTCCTCCCTGCCCCAGGAGCAATGTCCTTCGTTCAAAGCCAAGGAAAGCAGCCCCGTTATTACCCTTGCTGTGCACAGACTCCTTGCAGTGGGTAGCCCACATGCAATGCTCACCAGAGGATGTTTTTCTCTCCATGACTACATCTCTTACTGTCACACAGGTGCCACTCATTGGATTGTCTGTGATCCTCTTTCCACAGTGATATGGGTCACGCTTCTGGGGAGTGGTGCTAGCTCTCACGGGATGCTTTCCTGCACAGCACCCCTTCCTGTGTTGTGTCCCTCCCAGATCCCTTTCTGATAAACTCCAGCACAAGCACGGGCTGTAGAAAGCATAACATTTTATTGAATAGCCACAACAAATTTGACTAGCTGAGTGTAACTTTTTTAGGATATATCTATAAAAAGTACAGTTCTCTTAAAATGGATTTGTGGAGGTTTTTTTCTTCGATTAAGTTGTTTTTCTGCAGCTTTAATCGTTAGTCCTGTGTGAAGGTGGCTTCTTCATGCTTTTTCATAAACTCTTTTGCAGGCAACATTATTCATGGTGCATTCCTGGAAAGAGAAACAAATTTGATCAGCTTTTAACTCTCACTAAATGCTTGTTAGTCAGAAGGTAAAGAATTGCTTATCTGCTGGGGACCCGTGTAAGAAAAAAATTGCATTTCTCCTCCTTTAAACTCAATTACCGAAACAGTGAAACTCAAGTTTGAGAGCTTCAGAATCAGAAGTCTGAAATAAAAGCATAGGACTGAAAGAAGATCAGAGGACTTCTCCAGTGATCCCCAGGAGCTTTCTAATCCCCTCTGAAAAACCTCCAAAGAAACCTCCTAGGACTTCTTTGGAGGGTGATTGGACTCGGTAGCTTGGTGTTAGCCTTTTTTCCATTCACCTTCTGCAGCTGTGGCTTGTCTCGTTCACACACATACCCACACATACACATACAGAGTCCTACACAGCTTTCAGACTTGCAGCTGCTGGTGTCAGCCTCCGCATCTTAGGCTCTGTACTCATCTATTTTTGTGTTAGATCAAGCTCTGGTTTGTTCAGTCTTTCCTAATAAAGTTGTTACTGAAAATTATTTCTATTTGTTTTCCTTTGGTCTCTATCCAAAGAAAATTAAATATTAAATTTATGGACACGTATTTTTCTCCAGGGAAAGGCAGAACTTCAGGAATTTCATGTATTGTTTTGTAGCATGTAAGAATCTCAGCACTCTTTTATGAACAGAGTTTTAGTCCCCTCCCAGATTCTTCAAAATGTCTTTCCTAAAACTGGAGAGCAGTGCTAGGAAGCCCTAAACTGTAGGTGGGCCTTGTTGGCACCAAGTCCAAGACAATACTCTCTGAGCAGATAAAACCAACTAACAGAGCTTGAATACGGGTTTCTTTTTTTGCTTTAACATTGTATTATTGACACAATTGTTGGTGATTCATAGGACAGTTCCCACAGAGGGCTATTGAGTCTCTACTGGAGATGAACAGGCACATTTTGCATCAGCACAGAGCACACACACCTAACATGAACTTGGCTAATACTTCCTCTATATGGTCCAGGACCTAAAGTTTCTAATATATAAAAATTTCCCCCACAGGGATGCTGGTTTTTTTTCCTCTCAACTCTTTCCTAACTATGTCTTGCTATGAATGGAGAGCAGGTGTCTCCATACCATTCTATTAATTTAGCAGCATTTCAGTTTTAGTACATACTCCAGACTCATTCAGAGAGACTTCTTGCCAAGTGCACAGTCCTTTCAGATGGAAACACTCCCCATGTTTGAATCCCATGTGATACGTGTCAGACATGAATTATGCACAATGAGTTCAGTGATGAAGTAGCAAAAATGAACTCACCACCACCAGGTTCCCATCCACCACTTTCCTCTTTATGATAGTCTCCTTCCCGTCCCACTTCTGCACCTGGATCAGCATGCCGTTGTCTAAGGTTACAACATTCTGCCAAAGGAAAAAGACACAAACGCAGCTGTTTCAGCAGGGTGCTCTGGGTTGAGGAGAAGACTGTCTCCATGTCCAAACAGCACTGAAGCATCAGGCATCCATAGCACTCTTACCTTTGAAGGCAGCATGTCTACACTGGATGTCAAAATCACAACTCCATCCTCCTGCTCCTACCTCCCTGTTGAGAGGTGACTTTGGAAAGTGACAGTTTTGCACTCACCTTTGTTTTTCTGTCATCTGCTGTGGTCTCGTCAAACTCTTCACCCAGCTTGAAAGAGACCTCTGTATTTTTGAAGGTACTTTCTGTTTTGATGGTTATCACATCACCATTGATGCTGATAGTTACATTGGGCTTGGCCACACCAGCCATTTTCCTGGTAGCAAATCCCACACCTGTAAATAAGACAGGTCACTATGAAATTTGTACTTTTACTCAACATCTTTCTCTTATTTGTTGGGGGAAAAAAAACCAAACAACTTTAGTGCCGATTTCCCTATTTATTTCCGAATTTTTAATTAACTCTATGTTGCAGAGATTCCTTCGTATTTGTTTCACCAGCTTGGTATTGTTATAGACCAAGCCAGGTGGGATGACATAAGGAAATTCTCTGCTCTGTCATTGTCAGAACAGTAGAAGCAGTATTTTGAAGACTGAGATAAGATTTTAATACCTGTTATTTGCACATATACTTGTTTGAAATAACTGTGTTCATTTGTACACTAACTTCTATGCTAACAGTATCTGAAAATAAAGAAGTAGAAATATATGAGAGTTTCTAAGCCACAAAAACAAACACGAAAAAAAAAAAAACCAAACACTTTTTATGTTTATCAGTGGCTAGGCTAAATAAAAGGAAATGATTAAGAAATAGCTGGCAATGGTTACGTCCTGAGTAAAATCTAGGGTAAAGATTAGGAGTATAAGAGTCTCACTGAAAGCTGTCTGAATGCTGTCTAAGTGTCAGTGACTATTTTACCCCTAATCTCCAAATAAATCCCCATTTTTTTAACATGTACTGATCCAACCAGCACAAGTCACCCCATACTTCCTCCACTCTAAAAGAATGTAGAAACCTTTTGAAGCCCAATTACAATTCTAAGCAAGAAGCCTACACCTTTAGAGAAGAGTGCTAGTCCTCAAACCTTTTACAAGTATCTGCATGAATCCATGCAATTTTCTTTGTTAATATTTACTGGAGGCAGCTACAGGGCTTCATTCACTGTCGTAGCTGTGACAATTAATCATTCTCATACTCTAGTAGCAATGCAAAGAAGTTTAGGTGTGTTGCTTTTAGACATAGAGAAGCTTGCTGCATTCTAACATTACACTGCTTTGTATGTCCAAGGATAAAAGCTAAACCACACAAAATACTGCGGTGACGTGGGTTACTTCCATTCATGACACTATAAGCAGACATGCATAGACTTGGCTTACCTGAAGCTATTTCTCTGAATTAAGGTTTTTCTACATTATAGGAAGCTGACACCACTAATTCAAAGAGACACGTTCTGCAGTTTAAAACCATCTGATCAAAATAGTTGGACTAAAATCCCCTTGGTAAACAACATAGCCAGAAAAAGCAAATAAGGAATAAAGTTCAAAATTAACATTCCTTCCCAGTCCCAGAAACAACTCCTAATAACAATTCTTACCCAGCTCTTTCATATAGTCGTCAAAGTTTTCGCTAGAAAGGAGCTTCCAGGTGCCCACAAATTGGTCACACATTTTGCCAGGCACGGGATCAAGCAGAAATGCAGGACAGGAGGATAGTATGAGCTTCAGGACATCAGTAGTTACCTTTAAAAAGGAGCCTTGGCCACATGATGCTCTAGGATGACCAATGAAGAGGGAGTCCCAGTGCCCAGTGGTTTCCTTCCTCCCCTACCCCTCCTTTGCCAGTAGGTCATAGTGTTACTATTCATATGCCCTTACTAGCACAAAGATCACAGTCTTGGTTTTATTTATTTTTTTTTTTATTTTTCTCATTAAAGAACACTCCATCTTAAAGGCAAATGATTAAATCATATTGTCTTTCAGAAGAAAAAGGTAGGCTCAACCCATGGAGGGTTATGTTCTCTCCTGTACTCTTTTCTTTCATTTCAGTCTGCCATATCAAATGAACACAGCTAAATTCCTACACTGTAAGATCTGAAAGGCTCATTGGAACAATTTAGTTTGCTTTCTTCACCCCTGTGGTCAGATGTTTTCTCCAAAGAGGCACAGAATTACAAGGAAAGTAGATTTATGCTGAAAGAGAGAGGGCTGGTGGCTGTAGAAGGGTAAGGCAATAAAATAGCTCTCTTCATTGGGATCCTTCCCATTGCACTTCCTTCATTAATGGACCAGGAGGTCTGTATTCTGCTTTGAAGTGATGGAGAGGGGATAGAGGGCTCTGTGAAAATGAAAGTAACAATATAGATGATTTATCTCCCTTTTGCCCTTGTGCTTTGTGAAAATATATGTCCCAGTGACTGCCATTGTGAGTGGTTATGACATAAAGCTAGGCTCTGATATCAACCCACCAAAGGTCCTTGGGCACTTCATTTGTGTCATTCAGGCAGTAACCTGCTTGAGGCAAGGTGTGTACAGGCCTGCCATAATGAGGTCCACCTTGACTGATCCCCTAAGCCCTGTCATAGCTCAGATCACAAAAAAAAAAAAAAGCTGTATCAGAAAGCAGTGAAGCAATTTCTCTGACTTTCCTTTTGGCTGTAAAATGCTACTCCAATGGCAAAAAGCAGCTAAGAAGTGCAGACTCCAGACCCTGCAATTCTTTTTAGGTGGGTTTCCTGGAAATGCTCTGTTAGGCATCAAATATGCTGGTCCACATACCTTTGTACTTGTTGACTTTGTAAGTAACGATGCTTTAGAAATATTATTTATATAGGATTGTAACATCATAGGGAAATTCAGAAGGGAAGAAGACCAGGAAATGTCCAGCACAACCTCCTACTCAGGCAGGGCCACCTCTGAGATCAGACTGGGCTGCTCAGGACTGTGCCCTGTTGGGGTGTGGAAACCTCCAAGATGGATCCAGCAGTCTCCCTGGACGACCCGCATCCCTGCCAAGATGCCCCCTTAAGGGGTAAAGGTTGTCCTTTCTCCTGTCTGAATCTCTCTTCTTTCAGCTTTTACCCTGAGTCTCTTGTCCTGCTGCCATTCACTGCTGTGGAAAGGCTGGCTCCAACTCCTTGGTCACCTCCCCGTAGGTGTTGGGTGCTGCTGTAAGCGATCCCAAAGCGATCCCATCTTTTAACCAGGATGAACCACATCAATTTCAAAGCCTCTCCTCACACTGCAAGTTCTCCAGCCTCCTGAGCATCCTGGGGCCTCTCTGCTGAACTCCCTGCAAAACTGGATGTACTACTCTGGATAGAGCCTAAATGAGTACGGAGGAAAGGGGAACAATCACTTCCATCAGCCTCTTGGCTGTGGTCCTTTTCATACAGCCCAGGATGCTTTTGGCCTTTTTGCTACCAAGGCCCAGCTCACTGCCCACCAGGACACTGAGGGCATTTTCTGTGAAGTTTGTTCCTAGCTAGGCTCTCCCCTGCTTGTACTGCTGTGAGGGCTGAGTAAGTTTTTACATGTACAATTAGCTATGCTTTTGTGCCTTTAAGACAGCAGACTGTGGGAAAAATTACTCTTTTTTAACTTTTTTTTTCTTTTTCCTTCTAGAATGGCTAATCTTAGGTTTGGTGTATTCTTTTTTTTGAGTTTTTGCATATTTACTGGCTTCGGGCTAATCCTGAAGTAAACCAAATAATATTCTAAAAATTGAAGTCGCTGAAGCCTTTCCAGATTGGTTTTCTCAGAGTGTCACATGCTCAGGTCCTCTTTAAAAGGAAACTCTGAGAGGCCCTCAAGTTTATGTCATTATCTTGGCATTTTTTACTCAGGATTATTGGCCTGAGAAACATTACACCACATGTGAGCAGTCTGTAGGAACTTGAAAACTCAAACCCAGTAATTATATAGTGACTACCTGAAAGTATCAGGCGAGGATTGCTGCAGTGCCCCAGATAGAAAGGATGTGACCTGGCTGAACTCAGCTCCTGCATTTACTTTCCTTGCCTTTTAGGAACTACTCTGTGTGTGGCTTACTACAATTAGCATTCACTTCTTTGGAGGGGAAATAAGGCTTTTATATCCAAAACTGTAGCCCGGGTAAAGGCATTGGCCTTCCTTTGGTGTGAACAGCTGTCTGTTAGGTGTGTGCTGGAAGAGTTTTTTGGGAGACAGGTGAAGCACCCGTTCCATGCAAATCAGTTTGGAGCAGACAAGTGCACCCTCCCTAAGCACTCAATTGCACCTATTTAAAGTGAATCTGAGTTATTTGTAGATGTCGTGCAAACATGATGACTCAAAGACGCCAGAAGAAAGCCAGCTTGTGGGCTGACCTGCTTGTTTACTTCAAAGCAAGCAGCTATCTAGGAGCAGGAGCACGGCTTTCACTTGGGGAGTATCCTACCCATTGTCTCCTTTACCTCAGGAGCGACTTCCTGTGACAAGAGAGAAACTGGTGGAATTATCAACACTTAAATCAAATCCTGCCTGCTCTCTGGGGCAAAGACTTCAAGTCACACAGCCCTGCTGATACGGATTGGCATAATGGTCATGAAGAAAGCAGTGGGGTTTCTGAGCCTGGAAGCTTAGGCAAGCCTAGGATTTGTGTCCCTTGGAGAAGTGTCTTGCCAGCAACAGCTGGGCAATCTAGTTTAAGAGCCCCGTAGTCACCAGTACTGATGGGATTTAGTACCATCAAAACTAAGGGCATCTTCAAAAGTATAGAAACCTTCAAAATAAGAGAGAATTTTGAAGAAACCACAACAGATAAGAAGTAAACCAAGGAAGGGAAGCTGGTGAGTGTCCAGCACCATGAGAAAATACTGGCAAGGTAAATTTGTCACAGAGAGAAAACCTGTCTTTTAATCCTCATATGAACTGAAGTAGCAGAAGTCTGCAAACAGCAACACACTGTCTGCAACATGGTTTTGGGATGCTGTGACCTCTGAGGATGGTTCATGATACAGGAGATGCAGAAGTGGAATAGCAAAGCAGCAGCTGTGCAGGGGACTTTGGTGGGTGGGAAGGTGGTGATGGCAGGCTAACTCTTTCTCTGTGAGCCAGACTAAGGGTGGAGGATCTACTTGAGCTAAACAGCTTTTTACAAAAATGAGCACAATAGTAACCTCCCTTTGGCTTTTTAGGGCATGCAGGAGGAATGATGCTGCTTCCACTGGAATATATGAGAAAGAGGATGCTTATTCCTGTGGTCAATACCTGTCACTCAGGACAGCTTTTAGCTCAGGACTGTGCCAAACTTTCCTGGTAGTTTAGACATGTATGGATTTGTCAAAGTAAACATACAGCTTACTCTCACATGTGAAAACATGTATTAACAAATCACTGTTACAGCTATTAGCAACACTCTGCTTAAATAAAGGCTTCTTTCTCAAGTTCCTCCTTGCCCCAGAATGGTAACAGTGTACAACCCCTTTGACTGCCATAGCTATTGAACTCATGAGTACCAATGAACAGCAGTGGCCTGGGCTTACACAATCGTCTCAATAGTTCTGATTCATTTCGAGTCAAAAGCTGGGATGAAAAGGTAAAGAGTCATCCATACTCAATTCCACCCCTGATGTCATAGCAGGCTATTAGCTTGTTGACAACGACTTCTGTTGAAAACTTTCTTAAAAAAGCCATGGCCTCTATGTGATGTTATTAATGACACAGATGGCAATGTCCTAGTAAGAAAAAAAAAAAAAAAAATACATATTCTTGAAAAAGCTATTAAAAATAGGGATTTTCCCTTAAGCAGGGAAGGAACCATGGCTTTGATGCAAGCTTCCAGTTCAGGCACAGTATTATCTGTTGAGAAGATGGGCTACAGCAGCGCTCATGCAAGGAAGGAGGAACCATGTCATACTCACTGTTTGGTACTGCTGCAGCTTTGACCAAGCAAAAAGTTTTCTTAATACTTGTCTGACTAAATACTGGAGTGGGAATCTGTTTTAATTCACCAGAGTAACTTCAAGAAACATCAGCTAATTCTGGAGAGCAGACAGGAACAGGTAAAAGGATGCCCATCTCTGCTTGTCAGCTGGCTGGTTTAATTTCTGACTCACATTTGAGACAGGTGAATTGCCTTAGACTTCTGTTTAGCCAGGAAAAGGTATAACTAAAGCTTTAGTACTCATGATGTGAGGCACTGTCTTTACAAAATACTGGATTCAGTTGGTTCAAAAGTTCAAAAGGCCAATTTGTTTTGTTTGTTGTTTTTTTTTTTTTTTCTCTCCTGGGGAAGGAGGTGAGCAGGAGACAAGGGCAGGTCCCTTTTTCTATGCTCAGCAGAACAAGCCCCAGCAGCAAACTGATGCTCCCCTACATGTGTTTATGGCTTCAGGCTTCACTCAAGAGTGGGGGCACTATTGCAAATCGCCGTGTTGCAGAAGGAGCCGAATTTTGCCAGAAGAAACAAACCTGTTGTTTTCCTGAGTGGCTACTGGCACCACTCTACCCAGTCATATTGCTGAGCTGTGACATTTGGAGACAACAGGCCATTGAGACCTAGCTCTTGGTTTTAACTTTTACTGACTGTGGGTTCTTGTGTTTCCTGCCGGACTTTAGCTCAACCAATGAGTACTCCACATGCTTAAATAGGTTTCGAGTATCTGAAAACAGGACTGTGAAAACTGAAAGATCTAAAAGGTGTTTCTGAAACACTAAGCTAAGTTTGTGGCAGTGTCAAGAACAGAAATGAAGTCCTGTAACTCC